AGTTTTAATCCTAATTGTTACCCTGGAGTGTGGGAGTCTCACTTACACAGGGGGAAGACCAAAGTCTTTGCTAGATTTGGGTTCAGAATGTTTTTGTGGCCTTATAACTTTGAATTTATCTTAAGTTAGACCCCCTCCCCCTACGACATGAGCTCGCCCTTCTCTGTGTACCCTCAGGACCTTTGCACGTGCTTTTGCAGCACAGCATGCACTGTGGGGGTTTCCTTAACTGACATGTAGTGAGTGCTCAGCACATGTATGAAGAAATGTTCACTTTTAAAGCAGTGGTTCTTAACCAAACATATGCACTGATCAGCTTTTTAGAAACATGAGTGCTTGTGCCCTGTCTCTAGAGGTTGTGATTCAGTACCTAGGATGGTCAGTCTTTTTTCTTTGTTTCTTTCTTTTTCTCTCCTTTAAACCTTCATGGATGGTTGTGCATCATTGGTTAAGAAGAAGAAAAATACTAGACTTAAAAGAATCAAGCCAAGATAAAAAACTAGGATGTGGGGCTGGGCGCGGTGGCTCACACCTGTAATCCTAGCACTCTGGGAGGCCGAGGCGGGAGGTCATGAGTTCGAGACCAGCCTGAGCAAGAACAAGACCCCGTTTGTACTATAAATAGAAAGAAATTAGCCAGGCATGGTGGCGAGTGCCTGTAGTCCCAGCTACCCGGGAGGCTGAAGCAGAAGGATCGCTTGAGCCCAGAAGTTTGAGGTTGCTGTGAGCTAGGCTGACGCCACGGCACTCTAGCCCAGGCAAGAGAGTGAGACTCTGTCTCAAAAAAAAAAAAAAGGTAGGATGTGGTTTCTTATGAAGATTAAGATTGGTTGAATGAGACAAGGTCTTGCTCTGGCGCCTGGGCTAGAGTACAGTGGTGTTGTAATAGCTCACTGCAGCCTGAAACTCTTGGGCTTGAGTGATTGGCCTGCCTCGGCCTCCCAAGTAGCTGAGATTACAGGGTCAAAAGCAAGTGTTTCCTTTTTTTTTTTTTTTTTTTTTTTGACGTTGTTTTAGTAGTATATTTTAATTGGCCCTGAATCAGGCAGCAGTTTGCTGAAGCTGTTGGTTTCATATATACAGGGAGCCTAAAGAATTATCTTTCTCTGGTCTGTTTGGCCATTTCAGAACTTTGGAAATGTAATGGTCATTCATTAGAAAGAAACATCGAGAAGAAAAGAGGAAAAGCGGGGGTGGGGGGGGTAGGTATTTTAAGAGAGAGCGTTTAGTTGTTTTAGTAGTATATTTTAATTGGCCCTGAATCAAGGCCAGCAGTTTGCTGAAGCTGTTGGTTTCATATATACAGGAGCCTAAAGAATTATCTTTCTCTGGTCTGTTGGCCATTTCAGAACTTTGGAAATGTAATGGTCAATTCATTAGAAAGAAACATCGGAGAAGAAAGGAGGAAAAGCGGGGGTGGGGGGGAGTAGGATATTTTAAGAGAGAGCGTTTCCTAATTCGAAGCACATTCCCTTACCAAGTGCTGTGTGGTTCGGACATGGCGCGTGCACTGCGACCGGCCCCTGGACTGGCTCTGTCAGAAGACTCGGTCTGGGTCTGGCTCTGCACCACTCACTGGCCTGGTGACCTTGGGTGAGTGAGCTAGCTCAGGGTCCTAACACTGTCTGTCTGTGAGGGTGTCATGGCAGTTAAATTAACTGCAAAGTGCTTAGAGCATTGCTCGGTACAAACTAGATGCATTATAATGCTTGTGAAATGCGTTTTTGACACTTTGTATCAGCCACTGAGGATTAAATGATGAACTTGATAGATACAGAGTAGAATGTTAAAAACGGCTAACCTCGACCGGTGGCCTGCGTTGGTGGCGTGCATTGGCTGGCTTGAAGCTCTGACAGCCCTGAGGTGTCAGCGCTCTGATTTCCTGTGTGTGCTGTGGCTGTTGGCCGGAGGTTGAACGGCCAGTAAGTGGGGAAGGAGCCACCGGAACTGAGGTCTTTGACTCAAAAGCGTGTGTGCGTCCCCCAGCGGCACTAGTTTCGGAGAACAGAATTCCAACAAGTGGGAGTGTTTGGAGGAGCCAGCCCAGGTCGCTCCTTTACGTGACCCCATGAGGCACGGTCACGTTCGTGTCTGCGTGAAGGGCTGCCAGAGGGAGCAGTGGTCAGGCAGCCAGGGAGCCACCAGCAGCTGTTGTTTTGGGCTGTGGCAGCTGTCAACTTACTAGAAACATTTCAACTGATCTGAGAAGATTTTTTTTTTTTTTTTGGTCAAACAATTGCCACTGTTGGGGAATATTTAAAAAAAACTTCCGGCCGTTAGCATACATGTGTTTCTTTTTCAGTTCTGTGTTCTAATGCTCTTGTAGATATTTTTCTCTTAACTAAAATTGGCTTCCAGGGATAAGTTCCTTGCTTTAATAAGTCACAACTTCCGGGCCTTTCCAGAATGGCTTCGGGCCTCCAGCACAGCTGAGGCTCGTTTAAGTTTGTTTGAGTAATGCTTCTGTCTTCCTGTGGAAGCTCAGACCCTTAGCATAACTACTGAATACAGAAATTGTATTGTTAAAAAGGGACTCCGTGTGAAATATTAATACTTCCGAAAGTGCTTTGGGTCAGTAAAAAGGTTTTTTAATGATTTGGGAAACTTTTATGAAAGGGCGTCCTGTGACCCTCCAGCTGAGCAAGCCTGGGCAGGGGCAGGCTGCACCCACGTCCACACTGGGCCCGAGCCCGCGTCAGGCCTCTCTGGCTCCCACGCCACCAGCTCTTCCATGCACTGCCTGTGGTGTCTCAGCCTCGAGACCATGCTTCACAGGCAGGAGTGAGGGTGCTTTGTTGTTGTGGTTTTTTGTTTTGTTTTATTTTGTTTAATACAATATTTTCTTCTTTTTTTTCCTCAATGAAGAATCAATGTTAGTGAGAATGTTGTTTTGTTTTTGAGACAGAGACACACTCTGTTGCCCGGGCTAGAGTGCCGTGGGGTCAGCCTAGCTCACAGCAACCTCAAACTCCTGGACTCAAGTAATCCTCCTGCCTCAGCCTCCTGAGTAGCTGGGACTATAGGCATGTGCTACCATGCCCGGCTAATTTTTTTTTCCTATATATATATTTAGTTGGCCAATTAATTTCTTTCTATTTTTAGTAGAGTTCAGGTCTCGCTCTTGCTCAGGCTGGTTTGAACTCCTGACCTTGAGCGATCTGCCTGCTTCGGCCTCCCAGAGTGCTAGGATTACAGACGTGAGTGAGGATGCTTTGTTTTTAAGAACCTTTACTATGTCAAACATGTGCTGTGGAATCTTCGAGGTTTTTTAATGTAATATTCATTTATCAGAAATGCTTTGCCGGGCGTGGTGGCTCACGCCTGTAATCCTAGCACTTTGGGGAGCCAGGGGGCGGATGCTCAAGGTCAGGAGTCAAACCAGCCTGAGCGAGACCCCGTCTCTACCAAAAATAGAAATAATTAATTGACCAACTAAAATATATATATAAAAAAAAAAAAAAATTAGCCTGGCGATGGTGGCCATGCTGTAGTCCCAGCTACTCGGGAGGCTGAGGCAGTAGGATCGCTGAGCCCCGGAGATTGAGGTTGCTGTGAGCCAGGCTAATGCCACAGCACTCACTCTAGCCTGGCAACAAGTGAACTCTATCTCAAAAAAAAAAAAAAAAAGAAATGCTTTTAGTGTAATATTGCCTGGGTATTTCAGGGTGTGGGTTAAAAAGCAGAGCAAAACAGATGATAGCTTCAGGGTGTGACATAGTTTGTTTTGTTCTCGTGTAGCAGCTTTTCTTCGTCGACGTAGGTTTGGGTATTTCGTCTACCATGGGCTTAAGGGAAGGCAGGTGGGATTTCTGGTTACACGCTTTGCTCTAGTTGCTCTGCAGATGTTATTTTGTGAAAGTCTGAAGAGTAAAATGAATTGAGTTCACTAGAGCCGTTTGCTTTCCCGGAGGTACGATTTAAATGGTAAATCTAGTGTCCCGTCTTATGTGCTGTGCTGGGTGTGCCCAAGCCGTGCTTGCACTTAGAGTGGGGGACGAGAATGCAGGTGCGTCAGCGTCCTCGGAAGGGCGTGCGCACGCAGGGTGGCAGGTGCTCACTGGAAGGGTGGGCATGGCTTGCAGCAGAGACAAGCCACTGCGCGTCACGTCTGGATGGTCGACACATCGCGGTGGCCCACCTATTTTTGCCATTCTGGAAAAGAACTATGTACCAAAACCTGCACTTTGAAAAATTACCAAGTTCTTTACTGATAAGATTACATTTGCTGCTAAACATTCTGATCGGGGCAGTGGAATATGAAGAAGCCAGAGGGGAAATACTTAGCAGTCACCGCTTTCAAGGCAGAAGACCCATAGAGCTTCTAGTCTGTCCCTTGTAAAAACTGATCAAACTTTATATAGAAGTTGAGGACCACGGTGACAGACACTGCCGGCTGTCCCATGGGCTTCTGCAGAAGGCCAGTGTTTAGGGTGAGGTGTGCGTTCAGGGCTCACCACATTGTCCAGAGATGCTCTGGGAGACACGGAGCGTTCTGTGCTTAGGCTGGTCCCTGAACCTGACACGTCCCATCCTGAGGTAGAGCACTGAACAGTTGTGGACCAGGCTGGCAAAATGACCAGATGGGCTTAGAGGTCCTGACTTCAAAATAGCATCCACGCGGGATGGAACCTCAGGTGAACCAAGCCTCTGTGATCCACCTGTCTAGTTGTTCAGTGGTTGCAGAAACACAGTGGAATCTTCTAATAAATTCCATCGCTGCTGCTGTAGAAAATGGAAGTGCCCGGCATATTTTCCAGAAGTATCTGACGTTCTCTGTCTTTCCCGGCCTTGGCAGGCCTCCTGCAGGGCGCATCCTCAGCAGTGTTCGAGGTGAAAGACGGCAACGGCACAGCTTGTATAATGGCCAACTTCTCTGCTGCCTTCTTGGTGAGCTACGACACTCAGAGTGGTTCTAAGGTAAGAAACACTGTGAAGACTGATCTTAATGTTTCCTGATAAATATTTTTTTCTTTTTGTTTTGGGAGACACCGACGTCTCTCACTCTGTTGCCCCTCCAGCTACAGCGTGAGCTGCCCGGCGCCGTCCGCACTACGCCTCACAGCAACCCGAACTAGCCTGGGCTCCAAACGCGCAGACTCCCTCCTGCCCTCATGCCTAGCTACTGGACGTCACATAGGCACTCGCGCCAACCATTGCCCGGCCCCTAAATTTTTTTAACTCTACTACTGCCTCTACCGTTGGGCCAAGTTAAGCTTCTTCTCTTCTACTCTTACCTACGTAGGCCCCGAGCGCGCGCGCCGGCCTCGCCTTGCCTCAGGCCTCCCGGTCTCCACGAACTCTGACCTTCGAGCATCACCGCTCCGGCCCCCCTGCCAGAGTGCTGGGATTACAGGCGTGAGGCACCAAGCCCGGCCTGTTTCTGATAAATCTTTGAGAGATGATCCCACCATAATGCAGTTCTTTTCATGTATGTGTATTCCTTCTGGGAACAACAGTAGGCTGTGCAGTTGTGTGTACAACAGCTGTGGTCACAACGTACAAACCGTTCTGTGTTCTGCTCTCACTGTCGTGTGCGTTTTCTGGTTTTCTTCATGAGTGTCTTTTATAATCACAGTTGAATACTCCCTTCTTTTAACCAGCCATAGCTTTTTAAGCCACTCCCTGCTGGTGGTTGGTAAGTTTTCTTACAATCTTATTCATGCCCAACGAACAGCTCTCTGCATATAGCTCTTTATGCTGCTCTTTCCTCTTCTCCCCTCCCCTCCCCTCCCCTCCTCTTTCTTTTTTTTGTCAGAGTCTTGCTCTGTCACCCAGGCTAGAGTGCCCTAGCGTCTAGCTCACAGCAACCTCAGACTTCAGGGCTCAAGGGATCCTCCTGCCTCAGCCTCCCAGAGTGCTAGCTAGGATTACAGGCGTGAGCCACATTGCCCAGCCTGATATGCTGACTTTACTTTAGACAAATTATATACTTGAAGAAATGTCTATATAAAGGTTGTTTGATATGCAGTGCTAGTTTGATTAAAATGTTCATTAGTAGTTAAAATGACTTTATTTCTACAGGATAAGTAGAGCTTTTTTTGTTTCCTAGATTTCTAATAAATAAGTAGCATGTATTATATTTCTTCCCTTGTTAACAACCTCTTGATAGACATTTCATATACTTGTTCTATTTAATATTTACTCTTTTAAATCTAACCCTGAACCAGATTTTATTCTCAATATTTGTTGAAACTACCATTTTCTTACGTCCATGTTGACAGCACTAATTTTTTTGCTGCCACCCTGGAGGCCCAGTGGGCCCAGAACTGCTTGGAGGATGCGCGGTTCTTGCGAGCGCCTGACCTTCGTGCCGGCGCTGGGGCTCTCACGGATGCCTTTGTTCTGGTCTCTAGGAAATAGGAGGTCGGGAAGATTTTGTTTTATAAAACTGTCTCAATTATAAATACTGGTCCAGGTGCCTTTAATTTCTACTTCACTGTTTTTGTGTTTGAATTTGGTGGTTGGATTTTTAAAATGTCATTTTGTTATACATTAATCATGTTTCACAGATGAGATTGTCTGCATGCTGTTATATGCTTTATTATTACACAGAACATGTCTTTGTTGCCTCATCTATTCCTGTGTTATTTTTAAGGACCACATTAGCATATGGCTTTATCATAGTTCCTTTAACCCGCCAGTCCATTTTTATGGACATGAAGGTGGTTTCCAGTTGCTTGCAATAGTGAATTCAAGCTATTCTGCAGTAGGACACTTGCCATGTTTAAAGAGACAGTCTTGGAACAAACATTTCTGTATTTAAAAGGTTGTGATAGGTTTTTTCCAAATATAAACACATAACTAGCTCACTCTGAAGCTGTAGCTCACTGTGAATTGTTTCAGGTTCAAGACACTATATTTTCAAGGTAACATTAGTTTTAGGTGTGTTATAAAAGTGTATTAATAGAAGGTTTTAATTACATGAGTAAGTCAGCTTTCTCTTACACTTTACACCTGACTGACATGCAATGCTTAGCCCTTTTCTCTGTGTGTTTTGGTGTATATGAAAAAGTAATGCCTTAACAGTGATACCGGAAATGGAACTGAGCTGTAAGTTTATATCAGACTTAGAGAAACTCTTTCTGAATCCATTTAACAGCCTACATTCCAAGTGGGTTCTGTTGTAATTGTGTTTGTTCTAGAACGCGGCCTTTGACCTGCCGCCAAGTGCACACGTGCTGAACAGCAGCTCTTGTGGAAAAGAGAACACTTCCGACCCCACTCTCAGGATTGCCTTTGGAGAAGGACACACACTGACCTTCAACTTCTCAAGAAATGCAACACGCTACGGCGTCCAGCGTATGAGTTTTGTTTACAACTTGTCAGACACACGCACTTTCCCCAACGCAAGCTCCAAGGGTAAGGACAAAAATTAACCGGTTATGAAGTGATAGAAATTGGGTTGGATGATTGTCTAAAATTACTTTTAACTAAGGACTATGAATACATAGTTCAAAATTGTGACTCCCCCCCTCGGGATCTAGAAAGCAAGACCGTGGAGTCTGTCACTGACATCCAGGCGGACTTGGACACTCGGTACCACTGTGTGAGCGCCACCGAGACGCGCATGGGCGGCGTGACCCTCACGCTCCGCGACGCCACCATCCAGGCCTACCTTTCCAACAGCAGCTTCAGCAAGCGAGGTAAGTGCTGACCCTTGACCTCTGGTGCCGACTGTGGGCCTGCAGGCGACCTCGTTTCTCTATGTCCCGGTGATCTGTGCTCGGAAGGAGCCTCACCCAGCCGGGGACACAGCTCTGCAGGCCAGGCCCTCTTCTCCTCTCCTTCTTACCTGTTTTTTTGTTTGTTTTTTTTTAAACAGAGTCTTGCTCTGTTGCCCAGGCTAGAGTGCCATGGTGTCAGCCCAGCTCACAGCATCCTCAATCTCCTGGACTGCAGGCATGCGCCACCATGCCTGGCTAATTTTTTCCATGTATTTTTAGTTGTCCATTTCTTTTAGTAGAAATGGAGTCTTGCTCTTGCTGACACAATAAATGTATCCAATCGTTATATATAAAAAAGCAGAAGGGTAAAGCAGTTGTAATGTTTTCTGTTGACCCTCGGCAGAGCTAATGGGATCAGGGTCACAGAGACCTAGTCTTAGTGGCCCAGCTCAGGAAGGCCCAGGGACAGGTGCAGAAGATGAGCCATGCCTTTCTGAGGAGGTCGTGACCCCTGACACACCTGCTAACCTACTGGTGGGCTCTGGACCCAGACAGGCAGGGAAGCCACCTCCTAGCACCATGATCTTGGGCAAGGCAGTTCACCTCTCATCTGTAAGAATAATAGTCTGTCTGGGAAGTCTGTTAGAATTTGAGAAGAAAATTAACACAAAGTGCTTATCTCGGCGTCTGGCCAGAGTAAATAGCAAATATGTGTTAAATCACTGTACTGAGGTACTTACTGTCACTGCGCAGCAGGTCTGCCTCCCGTGATCCGAGGGGAGGAGTGTCAGCAACTGGGGTGAGAGGAAGCCCACCTCGCGTGCGCTCAGCAGTGCTGGGACCCAATGGGGCCTGTGAGCTCCCGGCGGGAGGCTCAGATGCTCCGGGTCTGACAGCGAGGGTAGCTGGGTACAGACGCTGCTGTTTGGTGCCTCCCTGCTGGCCAGGCCTGAACGTGGTCGCAGGTCACAGCCCATCCCCTAGTTAGCTCCACGACCTGGGGGGTGTGTCCTGGTGTGGCTCATCCCCGCCTCCCAAACCACAGGGTGCACTGGAGGGCAGGGGGTCAGCGGTGCCCCTGAGAGCCCCGAGATTGCTGGGCGCAGTCTCTGGGCTAAATGTTTTTACGGTTAATGACTTCTTTTATGGTAAACTTTATTATTTTGAGCAGTTTTAGATTCACAGCGAAATTAAGTGGATCCTGTATCTTCCCTGCTCCCCATCCTCCAGATGTCCCCACTGTCTAAATTCCACGCCAGTTACTTTTTAATGGAGCGTGAGTCCAAGTGGACAAAGTCCGAGAATGAGGCTGTGCTCCTGCCAGCTGAGGCGGCGTGGTGGCGCAGTCACGTGGGACGTGGGGCTGCCTCCTCCTCTGGAGGCGGTGGTGGTCTGGGGCTCTGCTGTGGGCAGCCGCCCAGGTGCGCCCCGCCAGGTGTTGGTTACAGGCCCAGTCGCTTAGCGCCCTTCCTTTAGAGGTGGGTCTAAAGCCACCCGCCTCCACACCCTGGCCCGTGGTCCCAAGTTGTCCCTTCTCGTCAGGGATTTGATTTTGTGTCGCGTCTGCCGGTGCAGATTTTAGCGTTCTGTGGAAAGGAAATCCTGCTGCTGCTTTGAAGACACCCGAGCGCTCAGTAAACACTGCTGGCGAGAAGTGAGTCGAGGTATTCTGAAGCCACGCCACGCGCTCTCGCTGCTGGGGCGAGAGGACGGGGCAGTGTCGGCCCTCCTCGTCCCAGAGGCTGGGAGGGTGGGCTGGGGGCGAGGCCCGGGGAGTCCATGTCCCCTTTACTGGAAGGGGGAGCCCAGGCCTTTGAGAGCCGCATCCTTTACAGTGACTGGACCTCTATTGCTAAGAAACACCAAGCACAGAACAAAAACCGAATGCCCGAGCTGGCAGAGGACTTTGGGGACCCTTTGCTGCCATGTCCTCACCTCGCACATGACCCAGGAATTCCTGCTTTGCTCACTGTTGGGGGCCTGTCCTCCGGGTCTGCGTGGTAGGACAGTAGTTAGAAGAATCTCAGGTGGCTGCCAGCAGTTTGCTCCCCAGAGCAAGGGTGGGAAGGAACAGGTTACAGAGAGTCTCAGGTCTCTGCACGCTGTGATTACTGATGCCGTGATCCGGATTGTCTTTTAAAGCTCAACAGCTGGCGTATTCCAGAGTTGCTCAGAGCGCCCGCAAGGCTCTCAGAAAGAGCCTGGTTCCTTGGAGCACTTGGGGGCTCACACCACTCCTGGGCTATGATGGCGTCTGGCTGGGTTCTGTAGGTTTTGGGCAGTGGTTGGTGCACAGGTACTCGCAACTAAAGGGACTGGTATTTCCTCTGCAGAGAGGAGGAGATCTGAGATAACTGACCACAGGTGCTGCTGTGAGCACAGATCACCTAAAAATACTTGATTGCTGCTAAATTAAGTCATTTCTTCTTTCATCTTGTGCCAGCTTCGTTCCTTTGTTTCCTAGGCACTTTTGTGACTTACGATTTTGGTGTCTTTAATTTGAAAGCTGCTTAAAGAGAAAGATCCCAGATCAGTTATGTTAAATATATTTTTATATATCCCCGTAGTCTGTTATTCTCGTGGTTTTTTTTTTTTTTTAGACAGAGTCTCACTCTGTTGCCCAGACTAGAGTGCCGTGGCATCAGCCTAGCTCACAGCAACCTCAAACTCCTGGGCTGAAGCGATTCTCCTGCCTCAGCCTCCCGAGTAGCTGGGACTACAGGCCTGAGCCACAGTGCCCGGCCTTCATTGTGGATTCTTAATAGAGAATTGTCGAATGAATGTGTTTCTGTTAAGTCAGTGTTTTTTGTTTTTTTAATTAGTTGTGAAATAACTCCTTTTTCTCGTGCCCCGGGGTAAGGTTTACATTGGAGGAATTCTGGGTATGTGTTGGCATGGGCTATGGTGGCGCCCCCTTGTGGCATAGTGTGGCCTCCCCCAGAAAGCCCTTTAGCACCTCTCCCTTTGACATGTTGTCATAGCTGAGAAAACTTGGGACCTCACAGGTTTTATTTTAATAAGTCAACAAAACACAAGCCAAGGTCCAGCTGACTTTCCTGCCTCCTTTGTTGATGAGGGACACAGATATCTTTTCTCCTGAGGATCTTTAAAGTAGGGCAGATGGGCCACGTGCCGTGGCTCACACCTGTAATCCTAGCACTCTGTGAGGCCAAGGTAGGAGGATGGCTTCAGACCAGGTGTTGGTGAGACTGGCCTGAACAAAGTGAGACCCCATCTCTACAGAAAAACAGAAAACTTAGGTGTGGTGGCGCCTGTAGTCCCAGCTACTGAGGAGGTTTGCTGGACCCCAGGATCTCGGGGTTACAGTGAGCTATGATGATGGCACTGTACCCCAGCTCTGGCAACAGACAACAGAGAGAGAGACCCTGTCTCAAAAAAAATTAAAAAGTGGGGCAGATTGTGATACTAGAACAGTCTGACTTTGCTTGGCCTGGGCACTGGAGTGTACCAGGTGAGTGAGCTCACTGGGTCCGTTGGAATCGGACCTCCAGCCCTGGCCCTGGCAGACAGATAGATAGGTTTGGGGTGAACCCAGCCCAGGCATGTGGGTTTAACAGTTCACCTGAGGATTGGGGTTTATTCATGTTTTTATCTTAAGGGTTGTTGATGTGGGCACTTGTTGAATGAATCGAAGAATTTCTATAACCATTAAAAGTTAGAAGTAGACACTGCTTTTAAATACACGTCATCATACATCTCACCACCTACCAACCTGAGAGTGCCGTTACTGTTCCAACATGACTTTGTTTTTGAGACAGGGTCTCGCTCGGCCCCCCTTTTCCCTGCCCCAGGTTGGGGTGCAGTGCCATCATCACAGCTCACTGCAACCTCGAGATCCTGGGGTCCAGCGAGCCTCCTGTCTCAGCCTCCTGAGTAGCTGGGACTACAGGTGCCACCATGTCCGGCTAAGTTTTCTGATTTTCTGTAGAGATGAGGTCTCACTCTTGTTTAGGCTTGTCTCAAGCCATCCTCCTGCCTTGGTCTCCCAAGGTGTTGGGATTACAGGCGTGAGCCCCCGCGCCAGCCTGTAATGTGACATCTTTTAACCTACTTTACAAAAACAAAGTGGGAAAGTGAGTTTGTTGTATGGATCGTAGTTATAAGCAATTGTCAAGTGAGTGCAGGGTTATGCTTTGTCCATGTGTGGCCATCTCGACTAGGTCTTGAAGACTAGCCTGTTTGGATTTAGTTTTGCACATTGAGTCACCTGTTCTGTAACATTGTATAAAGTAATGGTGAAGCTATTTTTTTTTTTTTTTTTGAGACAAGAGTCTCGCTTTGTTGTCCAGGCTAGAGTGAGTCGCGTGGCGTCAGCCTAGCTCACAGCAACCTCAAACTCCTGGGCTCAAGCAACTCTACTGGCTCAGCCTCCTGAGTAGCTGGGACTACAGGCATGTGCCACCATGCCCGGCTAATTTTTTTTTATATATATCAGTTGGCCAAATTTCTTTCTATTTATAGTAGAGACGCGGGTCTTGCTCTTGCTCAGGCTGGTTTTGAACTCCTGACCTTGAGCAATCCGCCCGCCTCGGCCTCCCAGAGAGCTAGGGTTACAGGCGTGAGCCACCGCGCCCGGCCATGGTGAAGCTATTTTTAAAAGGACAACTGTAACATCAGCCTGTAACTGTGAGCCCAGGGGCAGTGAGTGAGGGGTGTGTCAGCACCTCCCGGGTTGGGGCGTCTCCAGGGCTGTATCTGCCCGGCCACCCTCACCCAAGGTCACAGTCACTTCCCAGAGCCGGGACGGTTACTGTGAGGCCCTTTGTGCTATCTTCCTGCTCTGTCCAGAGAGGGCTTTCACATGGGGCCAGTATCCCGAGTGAGCTGGGCTTCTCAGAAGTGGTGAGGCCACGTGGTCGTGGTGAGGTCTCCTCTTCTCCTGCAAGCAGGTGGAAATTGAAGGCGGGATTAGCAACTGGGAAAGAGCTAAAGTGGAAGCTTCGTTGTAGCTTTGAGTAAGAAGTAAGCACTGTGCAGCTTGCCAGCGGGCTCGCCTGCCAGGTGTTTGCGGCTGGCTTTCCGTGAGGCGGCCTAGCAGAGATGTAGAGAGCATGGAATGGGGTGGAGATTGTGTGTTATTTTGAGCCAACTGTCCATGACTGGTCAGAGGGCCTGATTCTGAGGTTGAGAGGGTGTTGGTCCACAGAAGGCGAGTGTCTGCTCAGAACGGTGCTCAGTCGCCGTTCTACTTTGGTTCAGTCTGCCTTGGTTCTGACTGGGAGTTTCAGCGCGAACATCCTGGTGGGTTCACCGTGCTCAGCCTGTCCCGGGGCAGCAGCCTCTCCCTGGGGGGCACGCCCGCCTGCGCCCTCGTGCCCCCTGCCCCAGACGAAACCCGAGCTGCTGCCCTGGTCAGCCTGGGGTCTCTGCTCACACGTGGGGTCCTCGACGCGGCCAGCTCCCTCCCCACCCCGGGACCCCTGCTGCTCTCTCCCTGCTGGGGCCCTGTGGGGCTGTCCTGTCTGGGGCCTCTCTGGCGCGTGACAACCCAGGGAACGACTGTTTGAACCGTCCCCATCTCAGGTGGCGTGTGGCTGACCAGACAGCGTGGTCTTGCTGTGCGCCTGCTCCCCTCGCCCGTGGGGGGAAGGAGAGCGGGGTGCAGGTGGACCGCGCTTGCAGTCAGGGCGGGCCGAGGTGGACAGACTCGCGTCTGTCCTCTGCTGCTAGACAGACCCTGTCGTGCCGCCCTGGGGAGTCGGGAGAGCCGTTGCCGAGCAGCCGGCTGGGGTCTCCTGTGAGTTCGCAGACATGTTTCTGGTCCTGAGTTTGGGTGTCGCTGTCACTGCTGACGGCTGTAAGGAACCGGGACTTTGGCCCCTCCCCTGTCCCCGCAGAGACGCGCTGCAGGCAGGACGTGCCTTCCCCCACCACGGCGCCGCCCAGGCCCTCGCCCTCGCCCCCACCACCCGAGAGCCCCTCCGTGGCCAAGTACAACGTGAGCGGCAGCAACGGAACCTGCCTGCTGGCCAGCATGGGGCTGCAGCTGAACGTCTCCTACGCGAGGAGCGACAACACGGTAGGGCCGCAGGGCGCCTGTCACGCCGCCCGTGCCCGTGCGGTGCAGCGCGTGGCTCTGAGGGAGCAGCCGTGCCCTGCTGCCCTCCGGCGCGGGCGTGCGTGGCGTGGGAGGCCGCCTGGCGCACAGCCTGAGACATGCAGCTGGCTCCGCAGAGACGCCCCCGGCCCTGGCAGAGCTGGGTTCCCTCAGACCCGGTGCTTTGCCTTTGTTTTGGAGCAGGGTTGCCCCCAACACGCCGGCTCCCCGCGAGGCTGTGGGGGGCGGGCGGGCGGGGTGTTGGGAGCCGCACCGACGCGGGACACGCCCCCTCGAAGCATCACTCAGGAGCGGGCAAATTATTTTTGGAATGTGGAAGTCTTTCCTAGTGTAAACTCTATTGGCTCTGGTTCTGTTTAAAATGGATGTGGCCTTGAAGCCATTTGTTTTCTCGAGTGAGGGGGACCGGGAGCCTGAGGCGGCGGTCTGCTTGCTTCCCTGTCTAGACCGTGACCAGAGTGCTCAACATCAACCCCAATAAGACCTCGGCCAGCGGCAGCTGTGGCTCCCAGACGGTGACCCTGGAGCTCCGGGGCGAGGATGTCGCCCTCCTGCTCTTCCAGTTTGGCATGGTGAGCCGCTCCGCCCCGGCCACTCCCTCAGGGGCTTGGGCCGTGCTTTCCCGATGCCTCGTTTCGGGCCTGGCCCCCGCGGGACCTGGGGAGACCCAGCTCATGTCTGCCTTGGCTTTGCAGCGAGCCACCTGGTTCCTGGGGCCGCGCCCCTTTCCTGCTGCGAGATGCAGTTTGTCCCGGCAGTCAGGCGTCTCTGTCCCCCAGCTGCACACGCTGCTGCGTGGCGTCTCTGCCCGGGAGGAGCCGTGTGCGAAGTCAGCACCGTGACACACGGAGAATGTGAATGCCCCCTGCACACTCTTGTCGGTGCACCGTGCAGACGAATTAACAGTCGAGTCTCCGTTTGGGCAGAATCCCGTTCTGCGGAAAGGTCCGGAAGGGACCACTCGACATTCGTGTCCCCAGAACCACATGGGGCCCTCTTCAGATGCAGATTCTGAGTGTGGCGCATGGCTGAGGGCCGTCTGTCTCTCTCTCTCTCTCTCAGAACACAAGTTCCAGCCAGTTCTTCCTAAAGGGGATCCAGGTGAACATGACTCTCCCTGACGCTCGAGGTGAGACCCTACCGCTCTCACGGCCCCTCCCCCACCCCGCTTTGGCACCCGGGTGACGAGGCACCGTGTGCGTTGCAGACCCCGCCTTCAGAGCCGCCAACGAGTCACTGCGGGCGCTGCAGGCCACCGTGGGCAACTCCTACAAGTGCAACGCCCAGGAGCACGTGCAGGTCACCCAGGCGCTCTCCGTCAACATCTTCCGAGTGTGGGTCCAGGCCTTCAAGGTGGAGGGCGACACCTTCGGGTCTGGTGAGTAGTGCCGGCTGGTGGGGGCAGCGGCAGCTGGGGAGCCCCTCAGGCTCTTGCTGTGGGTGCTCAGCAGCTGCTGTGCCGGGCGTTGGGGGCCCCTGTCCCCCTGCAATGAGCTGTCTCCCCGCCCGTCTGAGACGGGGAGAGCCGCCCTGGCCCCAGAGAAGCCCAGCATGTCCGGGGACGCAGACACGGGCGCCACGCGAGAATAAGTGGTCCTTTCAGGGAGCAGTGATGCCGCTTCTCCCGTGACAGTTGAATATGAAAAGGTCCCCCTATGTCCCGTGCTCCAGAAGGGCCCAGAGGCCCCGGACGCGGCGCGGTGGACTGGCCACGTCCACGCTGCATGGCAGCCTTGGGTTCCGGTGCGGGAGAAGGCGTGTCTGCGGTCTGCTCGCCTTGTGCGAGGTGCCCGTCTGCGCCGGCCTTCCCGGGGCCGGCCAGCTGCACCTGCGGCCCTTCCCTGCCTGCTGCGGGTGGGTGGGCGGGGCAGTGAGGCGGGGTCCCTCTCGAGCGCAGCGTGTCCGCTTGCCCGCAGTGGAGGAGTGTCTGCTGGACGAGAACAGCATGCTGATCCCCGTGGCCGTTGGGGGCGCGCTGGCCGGGCTGGTGCTCACCGTGCTCATCGCCTACCTCGTGGGCAGGAAGAGGAGCCACGCCGGCTACCAGACGATCTAGCGCCCCGCAGGGTCTGCGCCCACACCCCCAGCCGGGGGCGTGTTGGGGCGCACTTCCTGGCAAACTGTTTTTTCAGATCTGCTTTATCCAATGTGAAGTTCATCCTGCAACATCTACTATGCACAAAAGAGTAACTATCGAAATGACGGTGTTAATTTTGCTAACTGGGTTAAATATTTTGCTAACTGGTTCAACGTTAATATTTACCAAAGTAGAGCCCCGAGGGAGGGAAGGGTGCCTGTCCCCGTGGGCACTGGCTCCGCTGTCATCGGGCACTCGCCATTCCGGTGTTGGGTTCCTCACTTTGCTCAGATTCAAGGCTCGCAGGGAAAGCCTGGTCCTCACGCTCAGGGCCTGGGCGGCTGGCTACTCGTAAGGGTGACGTGCTTGAGAAATCAGAAATCGTAGGGACGGAAGGTGGTAGGACGCCAGCGTTCCGAAAGGCGCACATCTGGGACGCCCGGGCCGAGCTTCGGGGCCGGGGCGTGGCCCGCGTGCGGGACGCCTGTGGGCAATCCCTCGGTGTTTTCCAAGCTCTGCCACTCAAGAGCGGGCACTTTTTTAAACATAAAGATGGGTGTTATTTTTATTTACTTTTTTTGTAAAGTGATTTTCAGTCTTCTGTTTGGCATTCAGGGTGACCCTTTTCCTGCACTGTGTACAATGATAGGTAGTGGATTCCGAGGCGTGGGCGGGCGGGCACCGAGGAGCAGCTCCATGTGACGCGTTGCCTGTAACGATGCTAATAAAAGTCTTCTCTTTTGTCCGGGCCTGTGCTTCCTCGGCTGGGGTGAGAGAACAGCGTCAGGGAGATGGCCGTGGCGTGGGGGAGCTGCCCACGCAGCCTGGTCTGAGGACGGGGTGTTGCAGCCTCTCGCGGGTGGTGGTCTGACGTTTTGACAGCCCAGCCATGTTGTTGCGATGTCTCCGGGCAGACCCCCGCCCATCTTGAGACAGGTGCAGATTAAAAGGGAGGCAGGTGTGGGGAGATGGGCCGGAGTCTGGCTTCCTCAGGGCCCTGCCGAGCACCTGTGCTCCCCTGGCAGGGCACTGTTCTCACGCCTCCCTGCGTGTGCTTGTGAGATGGGCGTACGGCCTGAGAACCTGTATTTAGAATAAAAGCCGCTGTATTCAGGCACAGGGCAGCCTCCGTGGTGGCCTCAGGTGAGGAAGGGCCTTTGTGGTCAGTGTGGTCGGGGAGACGGGTCCCTGGGCTGCTGCTGGGCGAGTCTGTCATGGCGGTGGCCCCATTTGTCTCTCACCTGTGCCCCGCTTGTCCCCTGCAGGGCTCAGCCAGGTGGCAGGTTTCTTGGGCCTTGAGCCCTGGGATGGGGGTGTGTGTTGCTGCTGGGCCCAGGAGTTGGCCGTGCCAGGGTGCCCATGCTCTGGGCTATTCCCATCCCTTGCGTCTTACACGCTGCTTGCGTTATCGCTCACGTGGCCCTAATAGGAAAGGTTAAGTTTCCCGTCTAAACAGATCACTTGTCACACGCACAAGCCTCATGTAAAGGGGAAAGGCACAGAACAGCATTGAAACTGCTGAGAAACTGATAGTCACAGACTTGCAGGTATCGGCGTACTTTATTACATACAAATGTACATCCCTCACGTTTTAGTGTCTGGTAAAAATAGTTTTTCTTTTTTTTTTTTTTTTTTTTAAAGCTAGTCAAGCGTGGTTGTGGGGGGAGACAATGTTAAATCAGCTTAAAAATAGTTTTTCTTTATGAAGTCAAATTTCTAGCTAAAGGCTGTAGACTGACATTTCAAATTACTCTCTTAAAAAATTCACAGCTGAAGTGTAGCAACATCCAGTATTTACAACATTAAAAAGGAAAGCAGTAAACATGGTCTCCTGTCGGCTCTGGACGCGAAGCTCCGCCGTCGGGGCCGCGCTCACCCCTGCGCCAGCAGCTGGGCCCTGTGGCGCTCCCGCAGCCTGGCCACGGCTGCCATGGACAAGCTCCCGGGTTCTGAAAATATTTTCTGGAATGGAAATAGAATGAGCTTAAAAACAATCCAGCAACACATGCCTTAGCTTTTCCAGACGGGCAGGAAGACGAAAAAGGCCTTGAGTGTGGCGAGGGGGGACGGGCCCGTTGGCAGGCGCAGGCAGGCGGTCCCCAGGTGGCTGCCATCCTGCCTCTGCCCCAGGGCCAAGGACAAAAGCAAAAGCCATCAGGTTCCTTTAGGGTTTCTTTTTTAATAGACTAATGAGCAGTGCTGTGGCCAAAAATACAGCTGAGGCACAGAAGTGCCCCTGCTTCCTGCAGAGCGAGCCAGGGGGCTGGGCCGGCAGCACGCCGCAGTCCACAGGTGGCCCAAGCTCCATCCACACTGGTCCCCAAGGCCAGCTGGGCACTGGCCTGACGTCACCTTGCTCTGCCTCTGCTGGGGAGGAGTCAGGGTTGCAGGACAGCCGGGCGGACGGTGTGCAGAGCACCTTGGCGTGGTCAGGTAGCACACGCCATCAATGGAGACAGTTGTATGGGGGCGGCCAGAGGGCTGGGTGGCTGGAGCAGGGACACAGACACGCCCGGCTACAGGGAGGACTCCGCCCCGTGGGGCTGCTGCCAGGGCTTGGCGGGCGAGACTTGTGGGTTCCTTGGGCCGGGCGCGGTGGCTCACGCCTGTGATCCCTGCACTCTGGGAGGCCAACGCAGGTGGATTGCTCAAGGTCAAGAGTTCGACCAGCCTAAGCAAGAGCGAGACCCCGTCTCTGCTATAAATAGAAAGAAATTAATTGTCCAACTAATATACATAGAAAAAATTAGCCGGGCATGGTGGCACATGCCTGTAGTCCCAGCTACTCGGGAGGCTGAGGCAGGAGGATTGCTTGAGCCCAGGAGTTTGAGGTTGCTGTGAGCTAGGCTGATGTCATGGCACTCACTCTAGCCTGGGCAACAAAGCGAGACTCTGTCTCAAAAAAGAAAAAAAACTGCCTAGTGACCTCGAGGAGGGGGGGCTGTCCGAGCACCCTGGAAGCCGTGGCGGGGAACACCAGCTCCCCTGGGTCACATCCACGGCTCTTCACATTTATGTTTAGAGGTCCACGACAGAAAACAGTCCTTTACGGTCCTCAAACCCCCGTCGTCGTTCGGAGGTGGCCCAAAGCTATTCCTTTCTGTCTCTAACCTGAGGCTGTACAAACGCTGAGCCTAAAGGAAGTAAAAACCGCCCTCAACACTCCCTAGACTCAGACGCCTGCAGGGTGCAGCTTGGGCACCACGAGGCTGACAGGGTCCCTGCCCAACGCCTGCCAAGGTTGCCATCACCTCTGTCCACTCCCAGGAAGCCACAGGTGCTGCATCGGGCTGCTGCAAGTCAAGCTAGCCCAGCTCACATCCGCGCCCACCCTGCAGCCTCTGCAGGAGCCGGGCCTGGGGCGGGCCGCGGCCGCACCTTCACAGCGTCCGGTTGCACGGTGGACATTGCTGCAGTCTGCCCTGGTCGTTACGGCTGCTGGGACGTCCCGTCAGAGGCTGTGTCTCCAGCAGTCTTGACTCGGCGAAGCCCCCAGGCGGGCCGAGGCCGAGGGGTCTGTCCCCACGCCCCGGGAGGGCCGGCGGAGCCCCAGGGAGGGCACGGTCCTGCCGTCTGTGCCGGCCTTTCCCCCGTAACGCTGCAAGGACAGCGCCGCGTCCGCGGTGACGGTTCCTTTTACCTGACGAGCCCCCAGGTGAATCCGGAGTCAGTTCCAAGTTCACATCTGACACTTGTCACCTGTCACCAACGCCCTCTCTGGGGGAGCCTCTGGCTGGTGACTGACTCGGGACAGCTGCAGTCACACCACGGCCGCCGTGTGGCCAGGGTGGCGGCGGCGCCAAGTGTGCTCCACAGCACAGGGTGACCACAGCCCCCACGGCAGGTGGACGGAGGGGCCGCCTCAGACCGAGTAACTCGCCCTGTGCCCAGCTGCTCCCTGGAGCCGGGAGAGGGCCACACTCACGTGTTTTGTGGCCAAGTGTCCCTGGTTCTCTGAGCAGAGACAGTCCTGGCCAGTCTGGGACCACCAAGCGGTGACCTGACAGCGTTCATGGCCCGATTCCATTCCTGGCACCACCCGGGGACTCCGAGAGCTCTCCCCTTCCTGGGCTTCTAATCCGTGGGCTGTGGAGCCAGCAGGTACACACTGGTACTTCCTCTGAGTTTGTAATTATCTCAAAACAAAACGTTAAAAAGCAAGATGGTGGCTCACATCTGTAATCCCAGCACTTTGGGAGGCTGAGGCAGGAGAACCAGCCTGGGCAACACAGTGAGGCCCTGTCTCTACAAAAAATAAAAAATCAGCTGGGCGTGGTGGTGCACTTCTGTGGTCCCAGCTGCCCAGGAGGCTGAGGCAGGAGGATCGCTTGAGCCCAGGAGTCTGAGGTTGCTGTGAGCTGTGATTGTGCTTCTCACTCCAGCCCAGGCGACAGTGCGAGATTCCGTCTCTGAGAAAAGCAAAGTGAGGTGGGCTCCCGGGCGCCAGCGTCTCGCCGGGTCCTGCCAGCGCGGTTCCGGCCCTGGGCTCAGCTCCCAGCCTCAGCCTCGGCAGGCCCCGCCCCAGTCGGCCTGAGCAGCTGCGCCGCCGTGAGCAAAGCCAGGGCGTGGGGCCTGCTGTGGACGGCCCAGGCAGGCCCTCGGGGTGCCTGGCAGCTCGTGCCCTCCCGGTAGGAGTGTGAGGCGGGAGGACAGGCGCTGGGCTCTAGGCAGGTGGCAGCCACGGGCTGAGGGGACGCCCGCACCCACCTGCATGAAGGTGTGGCACTCCATCACGAAGCTGCCTCTGGTGATCTGCTTGAACCTGTCGCAGATGTCCGGGACGCTGGTGGCTTCAAGAATCAGCGCCTGATGCTGCTTGATGAGGGTCAGGGCCACCCGGAAGATGATCTTAGAGCCTTCGTTGAACAAGCAGTCCCAGATCCGAAGCACGGTCTGCAAGGGGACGGAAATCCCCCGTCAGTCCCCGGCGTGCCCTGCGCCGCTGCACCCGGGCCCGCGCGGCACTCACCTCCACAGGCAGGACGTCCACGAAGAGGCAGATGAACCAGCGGGACACCAGCAGGGCCCACAGCACGCCGTGCCGGTCCAGCAGGGCCCCGACCGCCGGCAGCTTCGCCCTCACCAGGTCCCCGAGCACCTCCTGGTCGGTCTTGAGGCCCAGCATCCCGGGGCCGTAGTAGTCTGCGGGCGGCAGAGACGGAGACCCACGTCACCCTCCGCAGACCGCCAGCCCCTCAGCCTGCTACCTCCGCCCCCCAGGAGCCAGGGAAACGCAGGACAGTCCCAGAGACAAAGGCAAAGTGAGAGCGGAGCCCAGCCCAGACATCCCGGATCGGCCGCCCCCCCGGGGGTGAGGCAGACGCTGCCCGGCGCCGCCCACTGGGCGCCCGGTGAAACCTGCAGGTGGTGACAGGGACTCTGCAAAGACGGCACGCCCCTATCAGTTCCGCTCTCTCAGGACAGGGCCTCACCCGGGCCAGAGTGCAGTGGCGCCATCAAAGTGCACTGCAGCCTCCCACTCCCAGCTCAGCAACGGGATCTTCCCCGCCGCCTCCGCCCCCCAGAGTGCCGAGAGCACAGGTGCCACCACACAGCCACCCCCTCATTCCTCATTCCACCCCCTCATTCCCAGCAGGGTCAGACCCGGGGCGCGGTGGGTGCCAGGGCTGGGGAGGACAGTCAGTGGTCAGTGGGGACGTTTGTCTTCCGACGGAAGTCCTGGGGGGCGATGGTTGCTCAGCAGCATGGATGCACTTAATGCCGCAACAGTGCACTTGAAATTTTAGATGGGAATTTTCATGTGTGTTTTACCACAATGAAAACAAAACTCAGGCTGAGACAAATGCTTCTAACACGGTTTCTTTTGTGAACTAAAATAAAATCTTAGGCGCCCCCCAGTGGACTAACTGGACCCTCTCTTGGCCAAGGGGACCCCAGGAACACCCTGAGGCTGAGCTGCAGGCCAGGAGGAGGCGGTCACGCCCTCCTCCTTGGAGATGTCCTCATTGGCAGGACTGAGGCAAAGCTCAAACCACCCCGCAGGTCATCAGTCACTGAACAGATCGCTAGAGTCTCCGTCTCTGCCCGGTGGCTTCTCTCTGATTCACAGGCGTCCTTAACTGAAAACATTCCAAGCCTTTAGACGAACCTTCTGTCTTTAACCAATTGCAAGTCAATCTTTAAATCACCTATAACCTGTGAGCCCCCACTTTGAGATGTCCTGCCTTTTCGGGCCAAACTAATGTACACCTCCCACGTATTTATGAGTTTACGTGAAATTCCTATTTCCACGAAACGCATAAAAGCAAACTGTGACCCAGCCACGGTGCGTCCACTTGCCCAAGGCTTCCTGGGCGTGGCTCCGGGCCAGGGTCACACACACTCTGCTCAGAATAAACCTCCTCAGATTATTTTACAGAGTTAGGCTTCTTTTCCATCGACACTTTATTTTGAATGAATATTTGATTTATCAAAGCTTTTTTGGGCTTCCTACTTAATTTTTTAGGCTTGTTAATATGATGTGTATTACAATAAAATAAATCTTACTGCTTGACTTGTGCTGTAAAAGAATTCGGTGAGTAATCATGTCACAGAATGGGAGAATCCAGCACACCGTGCACCACGCAAGGTGTCTCATCCCGCCACCTGTACGCTTTGGCAGGAGGGATGCGATGTTCTCATTAACTTAACATCTTGGTTAAAATAGAACCAACACAGCCTCACGGTGATGCTCCTGATTTTCAAAGCGTGAGCGCACAGTGAAGCGTGTTTCATACAAAGTGCCTGAGAGTGAATTAACCAGAGGCAATTCAGTTGTAAGACTCCAGGGATTAAAAAACTTTTCTCTCAACCTCCTTATTTTGCATCCTTCTCTCTGGCCTCTGAGCGCTTTGCTCTTTCCATCACGAAACCTGAGTCGAGCACGTTCTGTTCCCCGTCCACGAGCGGCAGCAGGGAGGGCGCCGTGACCTTGGCCGGCAGAGCAGCTTAGAGCAGCTTCTAAGAATAGAGGCGCCAACCGCTCACCCTGAACTCCACGGGGCTGAGCCGAGCCCAGGAGGAGGATTAAGTTAAACCCAGGGCATCTCTGCCTCCCTCAGCCCCGTCCCTCCAACGCCGGGGCCTCCCCAGGCCCCTCCCTCATGGCCACGCAGCAGTCCCAGGGAGCGGCCCCGTCCTGGCCGTCCACCTGGGACACCCTCACCCCACAGACAGCCGGACACCGCGCAGCTCGGCAGGGCTCGGGGCCGGCACAGAACGGCGCAGCCCCGCCCCGCCCCAGACCCGAGCCGTGCAGACAGGGGCCTCCAAGGGGCTGCCACTCCCGCCTTCCTGCATCATTTTCTGTCCTCCAAATTCTCCACAGGGAACACACAAGAGCCACACGACCACCCACACACGCGTGCTGGGTCTCCCCCGGGGCAAAGGTGTGGGCCAGACCTTTCCATCACGGCCATCCTAACGGCGCAGCCAAGAGCGCCTGCCGCTGGTGCCTGCTCTGAGGGAGGGGCGGGCATCCTGGACCGTGAGCGTCAAGTCTAGCCCTAACCCTAACGCCAGGGACCCCGTGTGACAACGAGGGGAGAACTGAGACACTGGCGTCACTTGGGGTCGCAAATGCTGCTCGGTGGGTGTGAAACTGGGGCCACAGAAAAGGTGGAACCACCCGACTCCCACGGCCGAGCTGCCGCCCTGGATCCAGAGAGACCCACCGGGCGGCCTCGCCGATGCAGCCCCGTGTGCTGGGGGACGCCCAGCTACCCGCTGTGCTGGCGCAGCCCCTGCCCGGCAGCACCAGGTCTCCCCTCTACAAATGGGGTCCAGCGGGCAGCCCCGCCCCACGCCGGCCTCGGTGACCACCGGCTCCCGGGGCAGGAAGGTCGCCGGCACAGCCACTTTGGGAAAACACTGCAGCCTGGGGTCGGCCAGGGACGCCCTGGTGGCTGTGGACGGGCAGATGCCAGGGCCGCTCAGGGAGGCTGGTGCCGCAGTGCACATGGCCCGGCGTGGGTCTCAGATGCGGGGAGCCGACGCCCGGTCCAGGCAGGGCTGCTGGCGGGAAGCAGGCGCTGCGAGGACCAGCCGGGAGCCTCCTCTGTGAGGGCCCCGCCTTGGGCTGTCCATGATCGGAACCTGCCCCAACACGCCTCCTCGGCACAGGGAGGGCCAGCAGCAAAGCTCTGAGCACACGTCTCGTCCGCTCCCTCTGCCGGAGCAACTCCCGTCCACAACACCCGTCCACGACAACCATCCGTGACACCCGTCCACGACACTTGTCCACAACACCTATCCACGACTACTGTCCACAAGTCCCGTCCACGACTCCCATCTGTGCAAGGCACCAATGATGTCTGGTCCCAGACTGTGCACATCAGCCCCTTGGCCACACTCTTCCTCGTCACCTTCCCGCCCAGAAGCCACACACCCTTGCCCCGTCTCAGCCTGAGACGGCCCCGAGCCCGGCCCGGCCACCCTGGGCGGCCCCTCTCTGCTGCTCCCGGGGGGGGTGCAAGGAGGAACTGCTGGCTCCTCTCAGGCGGGTCTGTGTGGCCTCGTCCGAAGACCCGGGGGCAGGCAGCCAAAGGGATCCCTCCCACTCCTGCAGTTACAGCGCGACACCACGGAGCCATCCGGAAAGTTCTCAAACGTCGTGCGGCGGGGGGAAGTTCCCACCGCGTGACCCGAGATGAGAAAAGGCTGCCGCCACGCGCAGCATCCGTGTGCGTGGAGACGGGGACTGACGCCGACCACAGCCACGGTGGCGCTCGGTGGGAACCGCTGACCCTTCTCCACGGTTCTCCCCCAGGGTCCCGAGATGGGTGTGAGTGACTCTCAAGGACGGTGGGGAATGGTCACTAAGCCCACACGGCCACCATCAGCCCTGGAAAAAGAGCCCGTGCCCAGGAGAGGACATGCGTGTGTGGGGGGCCAGCACACACAGTGTGTGGAAGCTCGTCACGGTTCTCCTAGGAAGACGCCCCCGGACCGTGGGAGTCCAGCCTCGCGGCGGGAGGCCTGGCCTGGCCCACTCGGCAGCACGGACGGGGCAGAGGCCTGGGGTGGGGGTCAGCCGGGGACCTCAGCCAGGACACGCGGGTGCCAGGACACGGGGCCGGGCTCAGACAGCCTCGAGAGGGCATGCTGGGGCTGGTGCACTGGCGCCTGCGGTCCCAGTTGCTCAGGAGGCCGAGCAGGAGAATCACGCGAGCCAGGGCTGAGAGCAAGCCTGGGCAACGTAGCCAGACCCCGTCTCAAAAACACAGCCAAGGGCCCAGCGCGGTGGCTCACGCCTATAATCCCAGCACTCTGGGAGGCCAAAGTGGGCAGATTGCTCGAGGTCAGGAGTTTGAAACCAGCCTGAGCAAGAGAGCGAGACCCCATCTCTACTAAAAATTGAAAGAAATTAATTGGCCAACTAAAAATATACAGAAAAAATTAGCCGGGCATGGTGGCGCATGCCTGTAGTCCCAGCTACTCGGGAGGCTGAGGCAGGAGGATTGCTTGAGCCCAGGAGTTGGAGGTTGCTGTGAGCTAGGCTGATGCCATGGCACTGCAGCCCAGGCAACAGAGTGAGACTCTGAGGGAGGGAGGAAAAGAAAAACCTGCGGATGGCTCGTTGCCCCTAAGAGCGAGATCAAACCCCAATTCCTCCCAGAGAGAAGGTTCCGGCGACTGCTGGGCCCTGGGAGCGGCCGGCCTGGACTGAGCCCGAGGCCAGGACTGTCCCTGCTCCTGCCTCGTCATCGCGGGCCAAGGCAGGGGAGGACACCGCCGTGCGGTGGGGTGCTGTCTTTGCCGCCGCCCGCCGGGCTCCCCGCCTGCACCCACACTAGCCATGCAGGCGCAGGGCCGTCGCTCTGCAGCTCACACTGCGCCTGGCAGCGTCCTGCGCCGGCACTCGCGTCCCCGCCTCCCATCCCCCCTCCCGCCCTGAGCCCAGGAGAGCGGTCCCCATCGGTGGCACGGGAGGGCAGAGACCCCAGCGCTCTCCAGGACACGCACAGCCATCCCTGCCGGACGGGGACGCGGGCTGTGAGAGGGCACGGAAAACCCGCCCGCCCCCACACCCTTCCAGGTCCCAGGACAGGGGAGGCGCAGAGGCGACAGGGCTTCCAACTGGCGTGTGCTGCTCTTTGCACAGATAAGACGCCGAGACCTGCTGAGTGTTCACTGAACATCAATCCTCACTCCTCTCTTATCGAACCACACGTCTGCAAGGCACGCCACTGCCTGGACACACCCAGAACGTGCTGTGGATGCAGATTTTCCAAATATGTTGTATGCAGACACATGTGCACACATAACACATGACACATAACACAGACACATGCACACACATGCACATACAGACACACATGTAAACATGCACACATAAGCACACATGCATTCATATGTGACACATACACACCTGCACACATACATGTGGTCACATGCACATACTCATGCATGCATATAATGCACACTCATATGCATACACATGCAAACGTACATGCACATACCTATGCTCACATACACACAAATGCACATACATACACACATACACAATGAACACCAACACACTCACATATGAACATATATGCACAAACACCCACACAGAGACACAAACACGCACACATGTACAGAGACATACATATACATACATGTACACACACAATGAAACAAGGCCTTGGCTCCTCTCAGTTCACATACCAGGAAGTTACTGGAATGGAACTAGACAAACAAAATTTTATCAAAACAGAGTCAGCTGGCCGGGCGCGGTGGCTCACGCCTGTAATCCTAGCACTCTGGGAGGCCAAGGTGGGAGGATTGCTCAAGGTCAGGAATTCGAAACCAGCCTGAGCAAGAGCAAGACCCTGTCTCTACTATAAATAGAAAGAAATTAATTGGCCAACTAAAAAATATATATAAAATTATCCGGGCATGGTGGTGCAGCCTGTAGTCCCAGCTACTCGGGAGGCTGAGGCAGAAGGATTGCTTGAGGCCAGGAGTTTGAGGTTGCTGTGAGCTAGGCTGATGCCACGGCACTCACTCTAGCCCGGGCAACATGGTGAGACTCTGTCTCAAAAAAAAAAAAAAAAAAAAAAAGAGAGAAAAGAAAAACGCTGGAAATACATACGACAACAGATGGTAACGTGATTACTTCTTAGTCGGGAGAAGTGGGGGGCCCATCACTGAGGGACTGTCACATTCTACTGTCATTTCTTGGGAAATGAGAATACGTCTATGTATTTCCTGTATATTTTTTTAAAAACTGTTAAAAGCAGGATAATTGTGGCACCGAAATTACCCAGTTTGGGTAACCAGAATTTAGAGAATGAAACATATTTGCCTCTTTTCTCTGCCATCTGGAGAGCTCCGAAATGGTAAGAAAAATCCCTTTTTCTCCCACAGTCCTAACATTTTAGTTCTGATGCTCTCTTTTGTTGAGACAAAATCTCGCTCCGTCACCCCAGCTGGAGTGCCCTGGCATCATCACAGCTCACTGCAGCCTCCAGCTCCTGGGCTTGAGCAATCCTCCCGCTGTGGCCTCCTCAGTAGCTGGGACTAGAGGCGCCACCACACCTGGCCAATTTTCCTTGTTTTCTTTTTGTAGAGATGGGGTCTCACTGTGTTGCCCAGGCTGGTCTCAAACTCTTGGGCTCAAGTAACCCTCATCCTGCCTAAGCCTCCCAAAGTGCTGGGATCACAGGCATGACCCACTGCGCCTGGCTTTGTTTTGATTTTGCATCAAGACCTGTTTGCACTGCACTTTGGTTCAACTGGACCTAACAATTAATGTAAGAAACGGCATTTTATGGACCAAAGGACAAGTCTGCACGTTTGCTGCCACTTTGGGAATCTGGAGCCTTGCTCGTTGTTTCCTTGGGTTGACACTTGAAGCCTTCTGACACCCAACATGCTCTGCTGCCCAGCACGGTGCCGTCCCTGCTACTGTCCACTCGTGTCCTCTTGCCACTTCACCATGACAGGGACATTTCCCAAACCCTGAGAACAGAGCCTGGAACATGATGGGTTTTCAACAATTTTTTTTTTGAGACAGAGTCTCCCTCTGTTGCCCGGGCTAGAGTGCCGTGGCATCAGCCTAGCTCACAGCAACCTCAAACTCCTGGGCTCAGGCGATCCTCCTGCCTCAGCCTCCCGAGTAGCTGGGACTACAGGCATGCGCCACCATGCCCGGCTAATTTTTTCTATGTATTTTTATTTGGCCAATTAATTTCTTTCTCTTTTTAGTAGAGACGGGGTCTCGCTCTTGCTCGGGCTGGTCTCGAACTCCTGACCTCCAGCCATCCTCCCGCCTGGGCCTCCCAGGGTGCTAGGGTTACAGGCGTGAGCCACCCCACCCAGCCCCTTCAACAATTACTTGTCAAAAAGAACTGAATTGGCCAGGCACGGTGACTCACACCTATAACCCTAGCACTCTGGGAGGCCGAGGTGGGCGGATCGCTTGAGGTCAGGAGTTCGAGACCACCCTGAGCAAGAGCGACCCCGTCTCTATTAAAAAAAAAAAATAGAAAGAAATTAATTGGTAAACTAAAAAATATATATAGAAAAGAATTAGCCGGGCACGGTGGTACATGCTTATAGTCCCAGCCACTCGGGAGCCTGAGGCAGGAGGATCGCTTGAGCCCAGGAGTTTGAGGTTGCTGTGAGCTAGGCTGACGCCACAGCACTCACCCTAGCCTGGGCAACAAAGTGAGACTCTGCCTCAAAATAAATAAATAAATAAAAATAAAAAAATAAAAAGCAACCACGGCGACCATTTCCACGCCCTAACGAGGACTCAAACTCAACAACAAGTGCAGACTCGGAACCCAGTCGACCCCTCAGAGATCTCGGGTTCAACACCATGACAGCACGGCCGGCCGGGCTGGACACCAGAGGAGCCGGCGGGGGGGCGAAGAGGCTGACCTATGACCCCGGCCACATTCAGGCCCCCGATAGTGACCAGCTTCCATGGCTGGGACTCAGCTACAAAAACACTGTCCTCTTTAACTCGACTGCAGAAAGACCATTTGTAATCTCAGCCCCCAAACAATTCGGTTACGTCTTCACTGAATCTGGCTTGTCGACAGAAACGCTCTGCCCGCACAGACACGGGGGCTCGGGCTCCGTGGGCCCCCAACGTACCGGGCAGAATCCTCCCGACAAGAGCGTCCAGCAGCCAGAAGGACTCCTCTTCATCCCTTGTGACGAGGATCAGGTACCCCGCTATGAAGTTCATGCCCTGGGATTGGAAAGGAGAGAGGCAGAAATCTACACTGAGTTCTAAACCGCCGTGCCGTTCTAGAGCCACCTGGCCGCTGAGTGCCCGCCTCTCGCTCTCCCCGACACTCGCTGATTCTAGAATGATCTTTCGGAGCCTTGGAGAGACTAAGGACCTGCCATCCAGGGATGCGTGTCTACGCCTACAATGAAGAAAACGAAAGAAACCCTTCTGAGCACTGCCTTGGAAAACTGAAATCAAAGCCCATCTTTCGACCGGGCGCGGTGGCTCACGCCTGTCATCCTAGCACTCTGGGAGGCCGAGGCGGGCGGATTGCTCGAGGTCAGGAGTTCAAAACCAGCCTGAGTAAGAGTGAGACCCCGTCTCTACTATAAATGGAAAGAAATTCATTGGCCAAATAAAAATACATAGAAAGAATTAGCCGGGCATGGTGGCGCATGCCTGTCGTCCCAGCTACTTGGGAGGCTGAGGCAGGAGGATCGCTTGAGTCCAGGAGATTGAGGTTGCTGTGAGCGAGGCTGACGCCACGGCACTCACTCTAGCCTGGGCGACAGAGTGAGACTCTGTCTAGAAAAAAATAAAAACAGTAAAGCCCGTCTCTCCACCTGAGGACAGGCTCGGGGTAACGCAGCACAACTCGCCACCAGTTTCTAAAACATTTATCCGTAGTCTGCAAAGCCGTAAGGAACGGTCTGTTGGAGGGGTGCTGAGAGATTTCCGTGGCGGAGACCGGGATATCCCCGCACACGCCTGCCCGGGCGTTGCCATTGGATACAGTGAGGCCCGGCACCGAGAGCGGTGAGCCCGGCCGCGGCCAGGCAGCGTCTCCCGGGGGCCGGGTCTCACGCCACCTGCGTCTTCTCTTGTGCTCCTCTGCGTTTTCTCAAATACGTACATGCTTTCCTAGTAATGGGGAAACAAATCCAGCTCTTGCCAACCGGCGTGGTAAATCAACACCGCACAAAACGCGGACCGGCGCGGGGACTGTGGCGCCACGAGTACGGGGGTCGTCATGCGCACGTGGTGACATTCACCGAGAGCCAAGGCGCACACGGCCCCGCACACGGCCCGCACGCCCGGCACCTGCACCCCCGGCACCTGCACGCCTGGCACCTGCACTCCGGGCACCTGCACGTCCAGCACCTGCACCCCCGGCACCTGCACGCCCGGCACCTGCACCCCCGGCACCTGCACCCGGCACCTGCACCCCCGGCACCTGCACGCCCGGCACCAGCACGCCCGGCACCTGCACCCCCGGCACCTGCACTCCGGGCACCTGCACTCCCGGCACCTGCACCCCCAGCACCTGCATCCCCGGCACCTGCACGCCGGGCACCTGCACGCCGGGCACCTGCACCTCCGGCACCTGCACCCCCGGCACCTGCATCCCCGGCACCTGCACGCCCGGCACCTGCATCCCTGGCACCTGCACCCCCGGCACCGGCATCCCCGGCACCTGCACGCCCGGCACCTGCATCCCTGGCACCTGCACGCCGGGCACCTGCACCTCCGGCACCTGCACCCCCGGCACCTGCACGCCGGGCACCCGCACGCCCAGCACGGGCAGGAGCCGCACAGACCCCGAGAGCAGCCCGGTGGAGATGGCGTCGTCGCGGCGGGCGGGGTCTCGGCCAACAGAGCCGACCCCCAGGAAAGGGGAAGCAGAACCCGGGGTCCTGTGTGCCCCACGCGGCCCCACGCGCGTCCCGTGGGTGAGCCGTGTCCCCAGATTCTCAC